CTCAACATAAAGCTTAAGCATGTTTCAAACCACAATGTAATAACATTAGGATAGTATAGATTAGTTGAAGTAACACATTGAGTGGACAATCATAATGAAATGGCAGAGGGTCCAATAACTCACCAGTTGAGATAAAACAGGGAATAAAGGAATCCAACAGTGTAGTGAATATCACCAAACAGAAGCAAGAACTTGGGGATTTCTGGCCTTGGCTTTCAGCCGGCCAGGAATCAAAACATAGAGCAAAATTATTCAAGAGAGAGGAGAATCACACAACTTTTGTATAGTAGTGAAAAGATTTCGAACTCAGAACTTAGGACCTCCTCCAAAGGGGAGTGGGAAGGGGTTTAAATAGTGCAGAAACTAAAATATAAACATGAAAAATAATTGATTCATACACTAAAAGGTCAATCACTTAAATCATTAAGGAAAGAAGTTGAAACCCTAATTTAGGCAAAAATACACAAAAATCGGCAGAAAATAAGGCAAAGAATCACGTATTTGCATAAAACGAACATAGATAGGAGATTATTCAAAAGGAAACACAGAATCGAACCAGATTTGGTACGATTAGAGAAGATCTGAAACCCTAATTTGGGTAAGTAAAAGAAATCGAGAAAAATAGGCATATAAAGAGGTAATAGAGACTAAATAATGCAAAAAATAAGAGTTTGAACCAGTTTAGGTTCAAATCAAAGGATAATCTAAAACCCTAACCATTAGGGTTAAGTACGAATCAGCGAGACACGAGAGAATCGGTACAAAGTAACGTGTTTGGACTCAATGTCGTCCAGATTCAAGAGGTAAACATAGATTTGAATCGAATCAAAGTGGGGTACTTGCCATGTTTAGGCAAGTACCTTAGTTATTCCATAAAATAGCACCAAATAAGGAAAATATCTCGAGATGGTAGGTGAATGAGGAAAGAATCCCATTAGGAATGGGATTTGGGGGAATTTTAATGAGGCGACGAAATTAGGGTTCATCGGGGGGGGAGGGGGGGGAACAGAGGCGGAGGGATTAAGGAAATGAGGGATAGGGTTTGGGGGTAGAGATATAAGGAAAGAGGGGTGATCGTTAAATAGCCGTTGATCATTTTTGATCAACGGTTGGGATTTGAGCGGAATGGGTTGGGTTTAATTGAATGGGTAAGGGTAATTGGGCCAGGGTATTGGGCTTAGTTTGGGTAGCTTAGGTCCGAAATTTTAATTGAAAATTGGGCTTGGTTTGGGTAGCTTATGTCCGAAATTTTAATTGAAAATTGGGGCCAGATCTTAAATACCCAATTTTAATAAATAAATAATTTATAAAGGTAATAAAAAAATAAAAAAATATCATTTGTGCGCTAAAATGATTTAAAATAGTTACTTAACATTTTAAAAATATAAAAAAAAAATTATTTTCTGCATAAATAATATAATTTACATTAATATGGGCTATTATTGCAAAGATATACAATTTAGCCTTAAAAAATACAAATGTAATTGTAAAAATGCACTAAAAACTATTTAAACACTATGTTGTCATAAATGGTAAATTTAGATGATTAAATCATCATAAAAAATAATATAAAGGATAGTTATTGGATATTTATATAATAAAATGCAGAAATAAATTGATTTAAAGCTCTTGAAAATTATGGAAAATTATGGAAAATACTTGTGCATGCTTGTAAATCAAATGATGATGCATGTGCACTATTTTGAAAGTATATATATATTTGGAAAATATGAGGAAAAAATTGGGTATCAACAACAGGATCCTGCACTACGCGATCGCGACAAGAACAATGCGAACCCGAAGAAGAAACTTCTGTCCCCAGCTTCTCAACTCACCACTATGTAAACGCGGGCTAAATTATGCAAACGCGATGCCCAATCTCCAGAAAATTATGCGATCGCGTAAAGCTACTCGCGAACGTGAAGGAGGAACTACTCAGCTTCAAATTTTCCCTTACGCGATCGCGTCCCTCAATCCGCGATCATGAAGAACACTGGGTGCACCAGACATCAGAAGAACAAGCAGTGAGAACATGAAGAAAAATAACCCGAAATCATTCTGAAACACGCCTAAACCCCTCGGGACCACGTCCGAACATCCCGACAAGTCCCATAACATAATACGGATCTACTCGGGGCCTCAAGTCACACATAACAACATCAAAACAATGAATAACACCTTAAATCAAACTTAATTGAACTTTCAACTTTCAACTTCCAAAACTCGTGCCGAACATATCAAATTCACCCGGAATGAACCAAAATTATGCACACAAGTTCCAAATGACATTATGAAGCTATTCCAATTTTCTGAACCACAATCCGAATGTGATATCCTCAAAGTCAACTCTCGGTCAAACTTATGAACTTTCCAAACCTTCAAAAAAATTTCAAAATTTTGCCATTATGCCGAAACCTTCTAGAAACATCCAAATGCAAGTTCGGGCATACGCCAGAGTCTGAAATCACCATCCGGACCCAATGGAACCATCAAAACTCCAAAATTCGAGGTCAAATACTAAAAAGTCAAAGTTGGTCAACTCTTCCAACTTAAAGCTGCAACAATGAAATTCATTCCTCCAAATCGATTCCGAATAACCTGAAAACCAAAACCGACGATTCACACAGTCATTTACATCATACGATGCTGCTCAAGACTTCAAATAGCTGAACAGAATGCAATGCTCAAAATGACCGGTCGGGGCATTACAAAACTACCCATCAATAGCCGCAAAAATATGCTCGAAAACAGTCCAAAGAGCTTACAAAAACCATGAAAAACGAGTTGAAATTACCTTAAAAACGTAGCTGAAAAACAACATAGGGAAAGAGGAATTTTCCCGTTATTTTCCCACTTTAATAAAAAAGGAAAATAGTATAACCAAATCCCCTAATTTAAGGCACTAGTAATGAATTTTATTTGTGTGTGTGTGTGTATATATATATATATATATATATATATATATATATATATAGCAGTATTGACTATTTAAATCCGGTCGATTCATGTATTAATTATGCTCAATCCGCATTCCACATTGATTAAAATTTGCTTATTTCATATTCACTGTGCTTCATAGGCATGAAATGCGAGAAAATGATATTTTATGCCCACTTAGAAATTGAGTAGAAAAAATGACTCTACATAAGTTTCTTTAAGCTGACCACTCAAGTGTAATGTCCTTTAAAGGTAATTCATAACACAAGTGTGCCATATAAAAGATGAGGTAATTTAGTTTAAAAGAACTTATTTATCCACGTAGGAAAGAGAAGCCGAAAAAAAGGGAACCAGCAATAATAAGATAAAGCTTAACAATTTCTGATAGTTATTAGTAAGGGTATAATATGGGTCAGGCCCGGGCCTAAACAGGCCTCGTGGGCCCGTCTTATGTGGGACGGTCTTAAGTGGGCCCGGGATTCATGGGCCGATCCTAAATGGGCCCAGACTTCGCGGGAGTTTTGTAGTAACCGGCCCGGGACCGGGACCACTAACTAATGGTCCCGGGGTAAGTGGGCCCGTCACGGGCCTAAGTGTGCCTGGCCTATTTTTTTTTAAAATTTTTTTTATCTAAGGCAATTTCTTGTAAATTTTATTGCTTAAATATATTTAAAAGCTATATAATTCACAAGAAATTACCTTAGATAAAAATTTAAAAAAATAGGCCCAGCCCACTTAGGCCTATTTTTTTTAAATTGGGTCGGGCCTATTTATTATTAAATTTTTTATCTAAGGGAATCTTTTGTAAATTATATATATATATANGTGTGTGTATATATATATATATATATATATATATATATATATATATATATATATATATATATATATATATATATATAGAGAGAGAGAGAGAGAGAGAGAGAGAGAGAGAGAGAATAGGAAGAGAGGAGAGGAGAAAAAAGAAAAGAAAAGTGTGTAACTAAATCCCCTAATTTAAGGCACTAATACTGAAATGTATATAATTTTGTGAGTAATTCTTGTTTAGGCAGGTAATATATTAAATTATAACAATTTCAGTAAATAAATTTCAAATATTGTATCAGGGGCGGCCCGACGAATTTTGTGGCCTAAAGCCAAACTTTTTGGGAAGGGGGAGGGGGGTTAACTTTTTCATTATTTCTTTGAAGTCTATTTTTGTTAGCTTTTCTAAGATACGAAGCTGTTAATAATTTTCTTATAACCAATAAGTCCTAATAAGTATTTCGCAATTGATAATATAGCTAATCCATTTAACCTTTCTTGTGACATTGTTGATCTTAGGTAAGATTTTATCAATTTTAATTGTAAAAACTTCTTTCCGCTGAAGCAACGGTAACATGAGTTATTAAGATTATTGCATAAGCAATTTAGGCATTTGAAAAAGAATTAAATCTTTTTATTTGATTAAGTGTATCAATTAAACTGCTATCTTCTAATTGTACTATTTTCCTTAAAATTTTTAATTCATGAAATAAATCTAAACCATCAAATACGAACTGATTATTATACTTTAAGAAACATTCAAGATTAAGGCAATATTTTTTTCAAATTTTTAACATATAGTGATCTTAGTTTTTACCGCCAAATAGAAAACCAAAATCATTTTCATATGCTTCGAATGAATTTTGAAGTGAAAAAGTATCCCCATTTTTCACTTTATAGGACTTTTTTTTAAAACTTATGCATAGTCTATTAGTTGTAACAGAAAATGGGCCTCTCATAAATATGGGGTCTAAAACAATTGCTTTACTTGCTTTATGAAAGGGCCGCCCGTCGATTGTATAGGAAGGAAAAAATTCCTACGCTATATCCATTTTAGTCCTGAATAGATGGACCAAGTGTTAGGAGCTTAGGCCTAACGTTAAAGGCCTCTGATGGGCTTACTTAGTTGTATCTTACGTGGGCTGCTCTTGGACTTGCTTGCGGTTAAGCTTTCAATTCGGAAGAGGACATGCGAGTTCACCACATGTCACAGAACCAGTGGTCAAATCCAGATTGTTCTAATCATTGGATCAACCGCCACAAACGAAACGTCGTACATCGTACAGCTTATCTAAGTCGGTTATGTTTTCCTCCTAGGATTCTGTCGCCGCCACGCAAAAAGTTCTTATCTTAGTCGGTTATCATCTTATATATAGGCTTTATATTCCCTCAACTACAACACCAACTATTGAGATTCTACAATCTCAGCTGTCGCGTTGGCTGCTCTGATAAGATGGTCTCTCCTGCCTTCTTTGCCTCTAGTAAGAATCATGGTTATATAGATTTCTTTTGCCTCTACTTGATTGGCAATTGCTGGAGGTTTCCACTGTTATGCTCAATTGTTTCCGGGGTTTGCCGTACAGGAAAGTTTTTGGCTCAAAAAGCTGGAATGCAGACAAATTAAAATTCTTTGCGTGGTTTGCTGGATTTTCCATATTGTAAGATGTCAATCAAGGTTATGTATTCAGAAGCGTGGAGAACATCCGTAGGAATTTGCTCATGTTGAATGAAGATGTAATAGGTATAATGGGGACATAAAAGGCCTAATTTCAGGGGGGTCAAGTCCCTTTTAAATTACTCTCTGTTACAACTCTGGCCTTTGCCATGTCGGGTGCGCTCTCATGGCAGGTCGCTCACTTAATAAAAAATTGTTTTTGCGGGTTTTGGGGGGTGGGAGATAGCACGGGAACTTTTTGGCCCGGGATCTCTACCCTCTTTTGTGTGTGTGTGTGTGTGTTTTTTTTCTCGCTTCTCTAATTCTTCTCTGCTCCTTACGCTCTACGTAGATGGCATAAATTGATCGTCTGACCTAAGTGCAAATTCTCAACGAGCTATATATTCTTAGTTCGCAGCCCATCTCAGGTACACAACACGTTTCTGGTTGAGCTTATATTATTCCAAGTATTGTCGATTGAAGCAACCCAAACACAAGACGTTTCTACTTAACTTGCAATTGATATATTATAATGCATACCTGTCAGAAAACAAGAGCTAGTAATATTTTTATGCTAAGCAGAATTATTTTAAATCCATTGTCAATGGAAGCAAAACCTAATTTGTGTTTAATATATGTTGCAAGTTTGTGCAGTTAGCGCTGTAGTGGATGACGAATGCAATCTCCCATCTCCCGAAGTGTAGAACATGAATTTCATCACAGATGTAACCCCAAAGTTAATAAACCAATTATCCTGTGAAATTGCATGCTACGGTATCCATGTGAACTTATCTATCTAATCAGCTAAGCAACTTCTAAGTCGGTTGTTTGTACATTGGCAGCTGGGCCTCAGGTATGCGTTGTAGGCTTGTAATTTTGGTTTTGCCCTAATTCACAACTAATAATGCATGTAAGACACAGAAAACTAAATAATGTATAGTGCTTTCAACTTGATGCTTCTATAATTTGATAAAGCTATTATGGTTTTACCTACATACAGACGTGATCTACAGACTTGAATTTTAATTGCAGCAGAATGAAGAGCCCATTATCTGCTAGTAATAGAGTATTCAAACTGGTATTCATTTTTCCTTTCAATGTTGTCAGTTATCTGATACTTGTGCATTAGAGGTGTCATTGCTCTTGTTTATTATTCACCATATATTATTATGAGCTCTAGTGAATTTGGGACGAATCTTCGGACCAAAAGAAAAAGAATTGCGATGAATCTCGGAGAATTTCAAATATTAGATGGAGGTCTGCAATGGTTAGAACTTTCTGCAACCGAAAACTAGAGAGTTCATCTGCATCACTTTGTAAATCTGGTATTGGTGGCCATCATTCTGATTTCTCGTTGTCGGTTGAAATTTCTTTGCTGTAGTAAGATTTTGTCTGTTAAACTTGAAATGCAATTGGTATCACTTTCATGGAGAGCTGGCATTGGTGGCTGTTGTTCCAATTATCTTTTGCCAATACAGAGGATATGCCAGAATTACTTTAGCAGTAGTATGATATTTGAAGGTTAGTGATAGCAATTAAGCTTTCAGTTCAAATAAATGAGGTGAAATTGCTGTTGTATAGAACAACTTAATTATAGTGATGCTTCTGCATATCTAAAGATTTTGGGAATCTATGTTATAATCAATTTAATTTGCTGTTTGAGCTATTCCATTCTGGTACTGTAGATGTGCTTTAGCACCAGGCGCTCGGGCAAGTTCTTCTATTCCAACTTTTTAGTACTAATTTTCATCTACGTTTGTTTTTCTTGATATTTTCATTACGTACGCATATATTTTCCTTTTAGTATTTATTAAAATTTAAATATGCCAAATATAAAGTATGAATTTGGTTATTCAGAACTTAAGGAAAAAAAGTTAAAATCTTTCATACAATCCCAAAAAGAAGAAATGATAGTACTCTAATTGATATACTCAATCTAATAGAGGCTTGATTCTTTTTCAAATGTTTATATTGCATATAGAATAAAGGTAACAGTTCATGTAACAGTTGTCTCAGGTCATCCTCGATCACAAACTAAAAATTTGAAAGAATTTTTTAAATTAAAATTGATAAAATTTTACTTAATATCAACCATGGCGCAAGAGATTAAATGAATTAACTATATTTTCAATTGAAAAATAACAATTAGAAGAATTATTTCATAATTTTGCATCTGAAAAAGCTAGAAAATTATATTTCAAATAAATAATATATATGAAAGCTTTTATTTTTTATTATAAAAAATAATTAAAGGTAAGTTTGGCTTTAGGGCCCAATAGTATTGAGCCATCCCCGAACTCGGTTTGCTTTTTACGTGTTTCATTGTAGGCTTTTGGTTTGTAGATAGGCAGAGGTTTCTGTTACTGTGCTTTGGTAGTAGTAGATTGTTGGTAAATCCATTGTTATGTACTTATGTCGAACAGTGAGCAAGTACAAGATGGAAAGGTCTCTTTTCCTGTGTAGCGAGGGTGCAGATGTCTCGTACACAACAGCAAGGGCGAATGTTGTTCAAGATTTTTGTTTTTGTTGCTGTGCAAGCTTTTCTTCGGCTGGTAGCTGGGTAAAAACAAGCTATTCATGGGGTTGAGATTTGGTACATGATAATGTTTGGCTGCAAAAGATACTTGTACTTCTTCAGGTATTGCTTTTCGGGTGTGATTCTGTTCCTTTAGTTTCTTTTTTGTGGTCAATTTGTCTCATCCAGTTTATGGAGGTATTGCATTCTATAATATGAATTTTTCAAGTGAGTGTATGTTTGATCAGAGAATCAGGGCAAAACCACAAAAAAAGAGTCAAGAGGCTAACTTGAAAAGTCAGTCAGAAAGAAAACAGAAAGAGAGGAATAGCTAGATGTTCTGAGAAAATCAATATGACTCGTGGAAAGTTCTGTGTAGACCCATATGAGGTATTCATGTTTACATGGTGATAATCAATTAATTGAGAAATAAAATATGAGGGGCGCCCCAGGTGAACTGGCAAGCAATGTGTTTATTTCACACATGAAAAATAAGATTTTTGGCAATGTGCTAGGCAATCTGGGTGTCACAATGTATTGGTACAGCAGCAGAAACAGAGAGCCCATCAAACAGGTTTAAGTAAAGCTGCTTAGTCAACCTCAACATAAGATAATAAAACAGTGGGATCAATCTCTTGGACTTCAAACAGATAAAAGGCCGAGGAATTGTAATGAAATAACTAGTAATAAGACTCTAGAAATAGGAGCAGTCTAAACTGAGTTAAGGCTAGCCTCGAAAATAGAAACTGTACTGTTGAGTATTGAATTATACTTAACAAGATTGCTAGGACAAGTTCATTCAGCAGATGTCACAGAAAACATGACAGCACTTAAACGGCCCTTGCAAGGCTGAGGAAGTGATTGAGATGTCGAATTGTGAAGGAAATATCAGGCTTGGTGTAGTGCGGAAAATTCAACTTTGCAACCGGATAATCTGACTGACGAATCCAAAGAAACAACAACTGGGGGGTTAAAAAGATTCTGGTGTGTTTGTGTTGATTGACAACATAACTCTGTGGGAGCTGAGGGATTTCATCTAAGGCAAAGGAAATAAAGAACAAGTCAATACACCTGCTTGATCCTGTACTATTCATTCAGGAGAGATCTCAGGGCGAGCATTTAAGCATCATGATTACTAGCCAAAATATGTGAGGGAAAAAACATTTGCACTCGGGGATGAATGATGCACCTATTTTTGAACCTCTTTATCCGAGGACTTCAAAGGCAAAATTAAAGGATATACTCTACACGAGCTTGAAGGTAAGCCGATAGAGGACAGGGTATTCATATGTTATTCCTATTTTTTACATTTTTAGGAAGGCTGTACTTGCCAAATTGTAAATCGAAATCGCGTATCTTTGTGTATTGCTCTGTGGAGTATGTTTTTCTAGAGTATCAAATTTTGTCCAGAAATATGATCTTCTGGGGAAGTTGGTGTCATAGAACTCGAGTTGTAATGTGACGCAATTTCATTTTATAGTGAGTTTGCAAAACGCTTAAAGGGTGATATCTTTGTTTGGGCTATAACATTTATGTAGTTATAAAAGTTTTTTATTTCGTTTATCATGAATAAAATTTTAAATTTAAAGTTAATTTCTTTTCGAATATAGAAGCGTGTGTCATCCTTTTTTGTATGAATTATAAGAAAGGTGTGCATATAAATTGAAGCTGAGGGAGTAAGTTAGTACATTTTGACAGTTTTCCTTTCAATTAAGACTTGTCTATTCAACAGCATCAGTATTGTATTATTTTTCTAGTTGAGATCGGCACGATTTATTCTGATCGTTGGCTGTATATTTTGTTTTTCAAGAGATCACTCCTAGGAGTATCTAGTGGTTAAACTTTCCAAATTCAGAAGGGGCGATCATATTGCTTCAATACAAGTGATATACAAATGGTAAAATTTATCTACATCGGATGTTACACCAAATAATATGACTATGAGAATTAATGAAGAGAAAGGTGTGTTTGGCGGTTGCTCGTTAAGGAGGATATCGATAGAATGGGTGAATGTACAATCAGTATTGTCATTACGGTGGAACAGAGAATTGGAATTTGACAGGGAATAGCTCAAAATCAACATATTTTTTTTTTTTTTATGTATTTTCTTGACAGGCTAAGACTGCGGCTTATGGACGTATGTACAAGGAACTGGGGGAAAAAGGCGGAGAGAAGAAGTTATTCCGGCTGGCCAAGACGAGAGAGAGGAAGGCTCGGGATTTTGACCAAGTGAGATGCATCAAGGACGACGATGGTAGAGTATTGATGGAAGATGCCCAGATTAGGAGCAGATGTCAGACTTATAGCTTGTTTGGCCAAGCTTTTTTTTTGGCGAAAAGTGTTTTTTTTTGTTGCCAAAAGAACTTTTGGCCAACAATTGAGGTGTTTGGCCAAGCTTTTGGAAGGAAAAAAAGTGCTTTTGAGGAGAAGCAGAAGCAGTGTTGGAGGAGCAGGACAAAGTAGCTTCTCTCCAAAAGCACTTTTTTGAGAAGCTCTTTTGAGAAAAATACATTTAGAAGCAGTTTTTTAAAGCTTGGCCAAACACTAATTGCTGCTCAGAAATACTTTTCAAACTAATTAGCCAAACACAAACTGTTTCTCACCAAAAGTATTTTTGAGAAAAACACTTTTGAAAAAAGCACTTCTCAAAATAAGCTGATTTTTGCAGCTTGGCCAAACGGGCTATTACTTTCATAAACTTCTGAATGAAGAAGGGGATCGGGATATTATGCTAGGTGAACTGGAGCATTCCGAGAGTCACCGTGACCTTGGGTACTGCAGGCACATCAAGGTTGAGGAGGTCGTGGGAGCTATGCGTAAGATGAGTAGGGGCAGAGCGACCGGGCGGGATGAAATTTCGGTGGAATTTTGGAACTGTGTGGAGAGAGCAGGTTTGGAGTGGCTGACTGGATTGTTTAATGTTATTTTTAAGGCGAGGAGGATGCCGAGTGAGTGGAGGTGGAGTACCGTGGTTCCGTTGTATAAGAACAAAGGTGATATCCAGAGTTGTAACAATTATAGGGGTATCAAATTACTGAGTCATACCATGAAATTTTGGGAGAGGGTGGATGAAGCGAGGATGAGGATGACGGTATATGTATCTGACAACCAGTTCGGGTTCATGCCGGGTCGTTCTACTACGGAAGTTATACACCTTGTTAGGAGGTTGGTGGAGCAGTACATGGAGAGGAAGAAGGATCTGTACATGGTGTTTATTGACCTAGAGAAAGCGTATGACAAGGTTCCTAGAGAAGTTCTCTGGAGATGCTTGGAGACAAAAGGTGTGTCCGTTGCCTACATTAGGGCGATTAAGGACATGTATGATGGGGCTAAGACTCGGGTTAGGACAGTTGGAGGCGACTTTGAGCATTTTCCGATTGTTATGGGGTTACACCAAGGTTCTGCTTTCAGTCCGTTCTTATTTGCCCTGGTGATGGATGCGTTAACACACCATAATCAAGGGAAGGTGCCATGGTTTATGCTACTCGCTGATGACATAGTTCTGATTGATGAGTCGCGAGCCGATGTTAACGATAGGCTGGAGGTTTGGAGACAGACTCCTGATTCTAAGGGTTTCAAGCTGAGCAGGATGAAGGCGGAATACCTGGAGTGTAAGTTCAGCGCTGTGCCGAGGGAAGTGGGCGTGGATGTGAGGCTTGAATCACAGGTCATCCCAAGTAGAGGCAGCTTCAAGTACCTTGGGTCGGTTATCCAGGGGGGAAAGGAGATCAACGAGGATGTCACACACAGTATTGGGATGGGATGGATGAAGTGGAGGTTAGCATCTAGTGTCCTGTGTGACAAGAGAGTACCACTGATACTCAAAGGTAAGTTCTATAAAGTGGTGGTTAGACCGGCCATGATGTATGTGGCTGAGTGTTGGCCTGTTAAGAACTCTCATATCCAAAAGATGAAAGTAGCAGAAATGCGGATGTTGAGGTGGATGTGCAGGCACACTAGGATGGATAAGATTAGGAATGATGATATTCGGGAGAAGATGCACGTGGCTCCCATTGATGACAAGATGCGGGAAGCGATGCTCAGATGGTTCGGGCATGTACAGAGGAGAAGCCCAGATGCTCCGGTAAGGAGGTGTGAGCGGCTGGCTGTGGAGGGCACGAGAAGGGGTAGAGGGTGGCCTAAGAAATATTGGGGAGAGGTGATCAAGCAGGACATGGCGAGGCTTCAGATTTTCGAGTACATGGCCCTTGATAGGAAGCTGTGGAGGTCGAGTATTAGGGTTTTAGGTTAGGAGGTAGTTGAGTTGTCCTTACTTCTTACCTTTGTCAGACTAGTCTAGTAGGGTTTTGTCTAAGATAGCTAGTGGCAATGTTGTGTCTTACTACTCTTTCGTTTCTCATAGTGCTGGGTCTATTTACTGGCAATCGTTTCTGCTTTGCATCTATCTTCTGGTTTTCATGTTGTTGCTATTTTTCCTATGACTTCTATGGTGGTACTGATACCGCCTCCTTTTGTCTTCTTGAGCCGAGCTCTACTCCTTTGGGGTAGGGGTAAGGTCTGCGTACACACTACCCTCCCCGAGATTTTACTGGGTCGTCGTTGTTGTTGTTTCTTGACAGATTCTTGCTGGCTTCTCTAGAGGTCTTATAATGACGACATGCAGCCATCATACTCCTCTTGAAATTACCATAGACATACTTATTTATTGCTTTTTTTCTTTGGCAGAAATTTCTAACCAATACTGAATCTAATACTAATGGTCCGTGTATACAGTATAGAATTAAGTAGGTAATTTATGGTCATGTTGTTCAATGTTAGTTAGTACATGAATGATCTAAAAGAATAGCCGAAGGCAAATATGCACGTAACACCTAAGATTTGATCTTTAACAAAATTTGGAAGCTTTTAAATGCTACCTATATCATAGGAACTATCTGAGCCGTCCTATAACGGCAAGGTGTAGGAAAAATAACTACTAAAATTTTAGTTGAAATTTCCAACAATTCTTAATCAGCAGTTCAGTTGGTTTTTCTTCAAAGTATTTGTTAGATCCATCCAAAAGAGAAGACTCCAAGCGTGCCAAAATTCCAATGTCCGGCCGTTTCCCTCTTTAATAAAGTTAGTAAAATGAAAGATCACCAACTCTGCGTGATTTCCCTAGAACTATACGTGCTTTTGTCTCTCCCATTTATTACGTTATGTTAGTTCAAGAATTAATTGCTATTTTCTGCATAGAAAGAAGGCGAATCGCAAGTATTCCCCTCTCTGCCTTTCTCGCTTTCAGGAAAGCTTTCAAGTGCAAAACTTTCTACACCTAATTTCTAGCTCCATTTCAAGAAAGGTAACTATTCCTATTTCTTCTTGTTTTTGCCAAATCCCTTTGGAACCTATCCAAAAATAAAATGTGGAAAGTTGACATATTTGAGGTTACTCTTGATTTACTACTCTTAAATTTTTCTTAATAACGATGAAGCAGGAATTCAGAGCTTACGTATAACTCATTTACTTATTAGTCAGGAACCATGTTTCGGAGAAAGCTTTGCCCCACGAGTCAGGCAAATGATTCTGCTAGCCGTGATACAAAGGTAACAGGCAAATCTCAGAAAAAATGCAATCTTGCTTGTTTGTGATTTCTTTTTCTCGCTTGTTTACTTTCAAGTATTCTTCAAATTAACCTTTACGACATAGTATTATAAAGATAGAACCTTTACAAGTTAAACTAACGTAGTTAGCACTCTGGAATTGTAGATCAGGAACTAATTTTCTTAGTCGAAACAGGTTAGCGAGTTAAGGGCTGCTCTTGGACCTCTATGTGGACGTAGCTTACAATTCTGCACCGATCCGTGTCTGAGGCGATACTTAGAAGCACGAAACTGGAAACTTGACAAGGCAAAGAAAATGCTTGAAGACACTCTCAAGTGGAGATCTACCTATAAACCAGAAGAAATTCGTTGGGTAAGTCTTGTCTGTATTGAACCCCAAAGGGTTTTGATTATGGCTGCACTAAGTATTACTACTAGAGCAACTTCGTTTTTTTTTTTGTCGTCAACTTAGCTTCTGTCACTTGGTATAATCTTGGAATATGATTCTGAAATGGCGATGTCGCACTTTATCCGCATGAAGTAGCACATGAAGGTGAAACTGGCAAAGTGTCCAAAGCCAATTTCTGTGACCGATTAGGCGGACCCGTACTTATAATGCGACCTCGGAAACAGGTTAATTACTCTTTGATATCTTACCTTTAAATAAAATCCATTCTATATCTGATATCAAATGGTTAATATTCTCAATTCTCATTGCTCTGCTTAATCGATAATAGATAGAATACATCATCTCCAGAAGGTAACGTTCGTCATCTAGTCTATCTGTTGGAGAATGCTATCCTTAACCTACCATTTTTTTGACAAGTCAATACAATTTATTCATTCTTCTGCAGGTAGTAAAATATTTTATTGATGCAAAAACATTTGCGAAGATAAAGTTTGTGTATCCGAATAACAAAGAGAGCACGGAGTTGATGAAGATATTTTTCGATGCTGAGAACCTTCCAAGAGAATTTGGGGGGAAAGCTACATTGAATTACGATCATGAAGAATTTTCAAAATTGATGGCTAAAGAAGATGTTAAAACTGCTAAATTTTGGGGCTTTGACGATTTGCCGTCCCATACAAATGGTAGTGGACGCTCCAAAGCAGCACAAGTAACGCCTGTGCCAGTGAGTGTTGCATCAGCTGCAAGCTAACCAGAGTTCAGTTGTCTATAATAGCAACTACCAGTGTAAGGCTTAAATAGTGTATTATGTTGTGCATCGTCAATGCTTTAAAAGGCAATCCCTATTTTTAATTCAGTTCTTCCATAATTAATGGCAAAATACCTTAAAACACCCCTAAACTTGGCACGCATTATTGGTTACATTCTTGAACTATCTATGGTCTTAATTACCCCTCTATACTTGGTTATTGAATTCGATAGTTGTTACCCCCTTGGATGATCTGATCCCAGGAAAGTGGCATGCACTCGCCTGTCATGTGAATTTTTCTTTCTATGTGGCATTTTTTGTAAAATAAAATATATTTTTACATTTTTAGATAATTCTTTCTGAATAAAATTTATAATAAAACTTGGATAGAACTACATTATTGAGGCTAATTTTTTTTATTTGGCGAAAAATAATAAAGTTTTAGTTATTCTTTTTATTTTTGAATTTGACCTGAAAATAAAGATTTATAAAATTAAAATAAATAGTCAAGGCATCTAAAAAGTTACTACAAAAGCTACATAGCTTGAAATTTATTATTTTGGCTATAGTTTTTATATAGCTCTAAATTATGGTGCTCTAAAAATAGATTTTTTACAGATTTTACTTGAAAAAGTAAAAATACACAGTTGAAATAAATAATCATTGCATCAAAAGAAGAAATAAAAAGAGTGTACAATTGCAAGTTCATTATTTTGGCTATACTTTTTTTATTTGGTAAAAAATAGTGGAGCTATGGCCAATTCTTTTTTATTGGTTTGACTCGAAAATAAAAATACACAATTAAAATAAATAGACATTATATATAAAAAAAAGAGAGGAAATTTACACAACTGGTACTCCATTATTTTTTGCTAAAGTTTTATATTTGGCTAAAATGATGGAGTTCCAACCAAACGTTTTACAAATTCGGCCAAAAAGCAAAAAAAAGAAATATGCAGTTGGAACAAATAGACATTATATCTTAGAAGAAATTAAAAATAATAAAAGTTAAAGTAAAGCCCACATTGTATGTTAAGATGAAGAAATACATAGTTGTAACAAATAAATCATTATATATGACTATATGACAATTAAAAGTTAAAAAATAACCTATTTGAAAGCTGATTTTTCAATTTTTCTTCACTCCATGCGCTTAAAAGAGAGTGCACTCACACTCTTTGCCACATAATGGCCCTCAAAAGCTAAGTTGAGGGGGATAATTAAGATCACGAATAGTTTAGGACTGTAACTATAATCCGTGCCAAGTTTAGGGTTTTTTTTAGGTATTCTGCCATAATTAATACATTTAATCTACTTCCTCACACTTATGTTGCTTTGAACACCTGTGGAACATGACTTCACCTGGATATGGAAGTTACACTGCCCCAATAAAATAAAATTCTTCATATGGCAATGTCTCTATGGCAGAATCCCTAATCGTCAATATCTCCATCACATTGGTATTAATATTGATCCGCAATGCACTATATGCCCTAGAGATGAAGTACCTTCAAAAGGTAGCCCTAGTTGCTCCAACTCAAAAGAAACTAATGATAATGAAGGGGAATGGAAAACTGTTTCCTTCCCAAGAAGGCGCAAACAAGGACCACCCACCCAACAACGACCAACTGTAAATCCGATCAGAAAAAACAAAACAACCACTCAATCGGAGGGAATATAAGTTCTGATGTTTGACACCATCTCCGGTAAGTTTTTCGGCATCCAAACCTTCAAATATGCTACAAAAACTAACCTAGTGCAGGACTCAAGCCAGCACAAGGCTCAAAAAATATTACCAAACCCATGAAAAATCAAAGTACTCAAGGTCAGACCACAAGGGAAAAGCCCAGCACAAGCATGGAGAGAAAAGCGGGCCCAGAAGAAAGGGAACAAAAAGATTGTGAGGAACCGGGACCTACTCCCCAAAACAAAAACCAAACACCCCCCCCCCCCAAAGCAAAACCAAACAGACCACCCTGAACTCCAAAGTCAACCAGCCCAAAGGGCCCAGAAGAGTGTCTGACAACCCATCAAACGGAGACCCACTCCAACCCCCATCTCATTAACTCCCTAGCAATTATCAATAATGATCCTACTCCAAGGCATCACCCCTACAAACGCACTCTCTACAAACTCACTCCATGGAAACCCCAGATAAAAATCTTAGAAATCCAAATTTGGCAGCTGATTTGACACCAGCAATCAACTCAACAGGATTTTCCAGAACCCAATAACCCGTTGTAGTAGACGCAGAAACCAAAGCGTCCACGATGAGAGACGATCCACCTCCATCTCAACAAAAACTGTTGATTACCCCAAACCCCCCCTCCCCCCCCCCATTTATTAGCAACCCAAAACAGGCAGACAAAGAAAACCCAAAAATAAACCCCCCACCAACCCCCTATTTTCCTAACCTCCGTTCCACCACCACCGGACCATGCACCGGCACCTGGCTGGAGATAGACCTCCATGGCCAGGCACTAAGTTACAGTTTCAGCTGGGCAATCCAGCCTATTCCTCGTCATTCAAAAAACCCGGCACATTCTGGCCAGGGTAACTGCGGAGGCCCAAACAACGGGGTTTTAGCGATGTTTGGATATCAGCTATTGCAATCGATGGTGCTTCAGACCATCAATCCCTTGCAGCAATCAACCGACCCACCATCAGTCCACAACATGATGCAATAAATCTTCAATTCACTCCCTTTCTTCCCGGATTCGGCAATGGAGGATCCCTTTGCAACTCCTCAGTTCAAGGTCCTTCAACCATGGCCACACCAGGACCCTTCGTCTTCAACGCAGGAGAAACAGAGCTCCCCACCACTGGATAACATCTCGAAGGAAATATCAAAAGCACTGGAAATCCTAAAGAGCCACGAAACCTCTACAGTGAAGGAAATGATGCCATCTTACAGCCTACCGAGAACAGACTCACTATGGCTAGAGGCAATGAGAGCGATAGAGTTCAGTGTGGACCACAGCGAGACCCTCATACTTCCTGCCCCAAGACCCTTGCGAGATGTGGACTGAATCTGTCCTCCCATCAAAGCCAAGGTCTAATGAAGCCACTGTTAACACTAACCCCAATGATGAGATCTTTGCCATCACAGACCAAGGAAAGAGAATTGATGCCACCCCAGGGAAGGGAAAAAGCATCGACGAGCAATCCCAACCAAACCCTCCATCCTCAAATGAACTTTATAATATGGAATGTTAGCGGGGCAAACAATGTAGAGTTCAGGCGACATTGCTCAGAAATGGTCAAAATGCACAAACCTCTGTTGCTAGTGTTGTTGGAAACAAAAATAGCAGATCACAAAAAACTGACAGAAGAGCTACAATACGACATGCACATCCAATTCCCAGCAGTAAGCCACCTGGGAGGCATAGTTATCATGTGGAAGAAATCCTCCCTCCAGGTGGACGAAGTAGCAGTGACATCACAAGGTATACACGTTATAGTCAAGGTACTCCCCTCAAACCTCCCTTGGTTACTTTCAGCAATTTATGCTAGTAATTTTCTTGAGGATAGAAAGACCTTCTAGGATAACCTAGTTGATATCTCCAAGAATTATAGTGGAAGTTGGTTTGTGGGTGTAGACTTCAATGAAGTCTTGAAAGCTAGGGACAAATTTGGGGGCAACCCCATCAACACAAATAGGAGCAACCTATTTTGGAATTGTGTCAATAGCTGCCAACTTGTAGACCTAAGATTCAAAGGTAGCAAATACACTTGGTCCAACAAGATGTTACACCCCAGGTTTTCGTGCGTGAAGTACGCCATAAGTAAAGTGATGAAAGTCCGAAAATGAGATATTATATTTCGCATTTTCATACATTAAAGCATTGTCGTACGTTAAAGCTTCGTCGTAAGATTAATCGACGTAAATTCGGGAATGAGATTTATTTTGGGATTATAAGTATTACACTATTTATAACAAGCGATAAATAAGTGTTATGAAGGATAAAGGGGTACACGGATTAAAGAAAATGAGTTTCGTTAAAAGTGATCAATTTGGAATAAAATACGGGTCGAGCGATAATACTCGATAATTATGAGCTAGTACCATGCAAGGTACCATATGACCATGGTAGTTTAATTTATAAAGTATATATGAAGTATTTTTAAAAAAATAAATAGAGTTTTAAGTAATTTGTGGTAACTTTTAAATTATGCGGGTAATTGATTAATTACCGGGAACGGAACATTACCCGGTTAACTAATAAGTGGATAAAAATTATTAAAATCCCACCCCCACCCCACGTGGCAAGATGCCACAACATTGGAGGTGACTAAGTAAGTCACTTTTTCCAAATGGCTAAATCTTCCATGACTAAGCTTTAAGTCTTAGAAAACAAGACTTGTAACCTTTATTTTAAAGACTTTTTTTTGTAAAGCTTGAAGAAAAAAAATGCTGCCTTGACTTTCTGAAATTTATGATTTCCATTTCATTTCATTTTAAAAGGACCTAGGAACGTTACTCCTTCCAAGATGGCAAGAAAAATCCTTTCTTAAGGATTGGAATTCAAAAGCTATAATCCTTTATTAAGGATTGGAATTCAGAAGCTTTCTTTAGCTAAGTTTCGTTCAAATTAACAGAAGCAAATTCATTTCAAACAACAATTTGCAATTCTGCCTTTGGCTTCATTTTAAGAACGTTGGGAACAAAGCTAACATTTAAAATCACATCTCATTCTGGAAGCCAAAAACGCTAGGAGCACAAGACCATTTCGTTCAAGAATTTCGCAGAAACAGGTATGTTAAGGCCCTCCCTTCTTTCTTTTGGCATGGTCCAAATTATACCGAAGAAACGAACAAATACACAGTTTCTATAAATTACTCTATTCATAGAAATAGTAAGGGTGTATATATTCTTGATTCCCCATGAGAATTATTATTATCTTCTGTTCATGGGTCTCAGAATAATACGCAGTTGGAAAAGTTTATCCGAAAAGAATATCGAGATTATTATGTATTTTTCATGCATTTCACTCATTTATGCATGTGCATTGACCCGTGACCATATGGCGTTATATACGCGTATATATGTAAATATATGTATATGGGATATGGGAAAAGGTTACGGCGTTATATACGCACCACCACCTGATCAACTCGTATATGATGATGATGTTGCCCACAGTGGCTGAAATATGATTCAAACGGCGTTATATACGCGTATATATGTATGTATATATATGTATATGGGATATGAGAAAGGTTATGGCGTTATATACGCACCACGACCTGATCAGCTGGTATACGTTGATGATTT